TGTCTGTCTGTCTGTCTGTCTGTCTGTCCGTCCGTCCGTCTGTCCATCCGTCCATCCGTCCGTTCGTCCGTCCGCCTGTCTCTCTGTTATCCACGAGGTCAATGGTGATGAGTGAGCGAAGCATTGGGATCGTTTGGTGTTACTGCAAACAACCCATGACATTGGCCACTCACACGTGTAAACGAGCGACAAAGCGGTGTACACTTATATACAGTGTTCATTGGTCAGAGATGGCAGTGTTGAGTTGTGAATTTCGTTTTGCCTTCATTATTACTGCTTTGCGGCGCCTGATCAAGCCTTAAGTTGGCAAGCACGAGGTCTGGGCACGTTCACCCGGTGGTTATCGGTTGTTTCCAGTCTAACGAAATGCATCGTAGTTCATACGGAGACGCCATCTACAGCACAAGCCAGTCGTCCGATCATCGTCATCAGTGTCATCGTCATGGCGTATAGTGGGTACGTAGCATGTGCTGTGTCATGATGGCAGGAAGAGAATGTGTGGTCTGAAACGCGCTTCCTCTTCACCGCCATCAGCATCATCGTCAGCGGCGGCTACGGCACACAAGGCCAACACCAACGGACAAGCCGCAACCATAAGAAGCTTCGCCCCTAAAAAATAAAAAAATAAACATGAAGATGAAGCGATGACGTGATTTCCGCAATGACCTGCGTTTGGTCCTTGGCTTTCCAAAAGTTAAGGCGGGAAGTAACCAGCTCCTGGAATGACGCATCAGATGCGCTCGGCCGCCAGTATCACCAGAAAACTGTGTGGCCATAAACAATGGCGGTATACGACTGATTCCCCATCCCCTCAGGTGCGGAGAGTGTTGGGACGGGGCGTTCCCTCTCCGTGCCCATGCTAATAACACAAACCAGCGAGAGGTATCATTTAGCCATGCTTGTAGACATAGTTTAGGCAATAGTGACCCACATTAGCTATTGCCGTCGAGTGATGCTTATGAGTAAATGCACGAAACGAGGAACCGGTGAGTCCACATACTGCGGGCCGGGGTTGTGCCGAGATACATTCGACTCGTTTGGTGTATTCCGTGCTGACCGGTTTGCCATCCAAGATGTCCGATACCACTGTATACAATGACCAATCGGCGAGAGCTAAAGCTCTCGCCGATCGGCTCACCGTCTGCAATCTGCTGACGCCGTGTAGTTCTCGCCGAGTGGTGCCCCGTCCTCGGACTCCTCCGATCATGTCTCCCATCTTTTTTATCATCTCTTCTTTTTGACACTCCTGTGCGGTGAGTGCTTTCTCTACTTTATCTTTCTACTATCCTTTCTATCCCCTTCTACAATCCCCCACAAGGCACTACGCCGTGTTGGCAACTAGGCCGACAGAAATTCAGAAACTAGGTGCCTATTTCATCTTCTTCAAGAACAACTACTGGGGTTCTGCCGAGATGTGCTCGCGTATATATAAATGCGCATCTATAATGAGTCGTTTGCCAGAGATGCATTCGACCTACGTACTAATCGGCTGAAAGAAAGACTTGTGCAAATGACCTCCGCTGAACTTTGGGCTATGGCACATTCACGCAGTGTCCGTGCAAATGACCGGCACAACGTGCACTCGCCGCTCTCAGCACGGCGCAAGTTTCGAGATAGGAAGCACACCACCGTCCCGGCCACCGCTAGATTACTTCTCGTCCCGTAGCAACATTTTTCCTCCCAGCCAGAAATCGTACCTCGGGGAAAACGCTAGAGACGACGCTGCTGTCGCACTGCTGAGCTTAACGAGGCGGCCAGGAAAATAACGGTATGGGCAAAGCGAACTAAAAGAACTGACTTAAAGTTGCAGAACACAGTACTTTAGCATAGAAGCGGAGCTAGGACCTATGGAGCCTATTTTGATGAAGTAGAGAGGGTATTAAGCTGTTCTTTTCTCTTGCTAAGTTTCCTGCCCGATCTCATGCATTAATCTCTCATCTTTGGCGCCGTGTCACACTTTTTTTTGTATTGTTTTTCGGGAAGAAACATGCGGCCCCGTTTCTTCAACATCCGCTGCGGAATCCTCGGTTCCGTTCATTTATCAGACGCGAAAGCCATTTTTTCGTGGCCCCAACCAACCACGTCATTGCTCAGCCGTCATTATTCTTTTCAATTTATCTCGCGTGTAGTCTATCCTGTGCATTTTGTTTCTTCCTTAGATGTAGTTCCATGAAGCTAGATCTTGGCACTTACACTTATTTGTTTGCAACGGCCCCACTTTTATAACTTGTTCCCTTTTAAGTGCTACATGTTAAGGCTGCTAGTTCTCTCTAGGCTATATATAATGCACGCCACCATTTCAGCCAGAGTACAGCTCGTGCGACCTCTGACTTGATTTGCCTGTTTAGTGCCTCTTCATTTGACACAATTTCGCACTCAATGTTCGTTACGTTGTCATTAAGGCAAAAGGTTTAGGTGTCTTACTAAACGAGAAAAGTGATCGTCAGAGTTAACACGAGCGATCTAAAAAAAATAATCACAATGCGATGACATCACAATATGACATCAACGTGACGTCACAAATCGCAAAAATACTGTGACGTCATCATGACATCATTGCAATATCACACTGATTTCACGTAATACCAATTTTCGCTTAGTCAAAAGTGCGTCGATAGATGCCGGAGGCAGTGCAAAGATTCTGTTTACATAGGTGATTCTGATGAAAATTTATGTAAGCATATCGTATTTTCGTCTGGTTCGCATATTTTCGGGTGCTCTTTTTTTCTTTTGTTGTTTGTACTATTTATTTACAACATACTGCGGTCTTGAAAAAGACCAAGCAGGAGAGGCACAAAAATTAAGTGGAAAACACACGTAAGCGAGATAGATGAATGATGTGCACAAAATACAGAAGATAAGTACATTATACAGAGATATATAGATGAGCTTAAACACAGGTTAATACGACCTTCAGAACAACGGTGATGTGTCTATCTCCCTATTATACATTCACAATTGCGATAAACAGTAAAGCAAGTCGAGTACAGACTACAGTACAGACAATATGGCACGCTCAAAATGGCAAATAGACAGATGTGAAAACCACTTCAGGCAGTGAATTCCATTCCGATACTGTACGTGGGAAAAACGAATTCTTGAACATGTTTGTGTGGGCTCGATACGGAAGCAAATTGTGCGTGTGCCGATGTCTCGTGGTGCGCGATTGAAATGGTTGAATGTATACCGATGCATTTACCTTTGTGGAACCAGTATAAATAGCAAACAGCAGTTTCAGCCAATCGATTTTTCGTCTATCTTCCAGGGTTGAAATGCTATTCGCCAGCATTGGAGAAGTTGGTGAGTCGGTGGTCCTATATTTGTTGAAAATGAAGCGTATAGCACGTCTTTGCACCATTTCAAGCCGGTACTTATCTTTTTTTAAGAAAGGGGGCCCATACGACCGAAGCGTATTGCATGTTTAGGAAGTATTACCATTTTGAAGGCCAGTAATTTGACATGAGTTGGTGACGCTTTGAGTTTATGCCGTAAAAGCACTACTAAAATATGTGCCCACTCCTGCTGTCTCGAATTAGAGACAGCAGTATTCGTAAATAGGATGAATAAAAGATGGTTCCCGCCTGCTTCCTCTCAGGCAACTGCTTAGAACCGAATGCCTTTATTCTCAGATTGGTGTAACATTGTAATATTAGCGTACCATCGCAAGAGGTGCATTGTACGAAAAGGCAACTAAGTAAACCTGCCTGCATTGTTTGAACGTATGAGCTATTCTTAGCGATCTGCACGTAATACACAAGTATTGAAGTATGTGATAAGAATGTAGTGATAAAACAGCCTACTGAACGTTAACATCTTATCGGCACAAAGCAAGCGTTTGCTCAAGCATGTTGGATCAGATTATGTAAGAAAAAAAATTGACATATGCCTTCGTATATGCCAATGATATAGCAAAGAACAGCTTGCGTCAAATGGACACCTTTCGACGTGCTCGCATATACGAAAGTGCCGTGAAACGATGTCACGTATTGTTTGTTGATAATCGAATTGTTTACCAGTTAGCTCACCGAAAAGCAATTCAAATACTGATCCACAACCTTTGACGGAAAAAATTCGCGTGCCCAGCTTTCGCACGAGGTGTATATATGAAGGTAGTAAAATGCCATTTCCCGAGACCTGAAAGCTACTTTTGGCGATTTCAAATTGAATTCACTGGCATAACTAAAGCTTACTTCGCTAGCATCAGCCCACTCTGCACTGTCTGGTTCATGTAACAAAGTATAACGCATGACACTAAAAAAGTTTGGCAGATCCACCGCAACGTGGTAGTCGATCTTATGCGAAGTAGCCAACGTGATAGCAACAGCCTATGCGACATTGTTCGCTTTGAGCTTAGCGACACGACGTGAATCGACGTTTTTGTGGAAATTGAAAAAAAAAAGTAAATTCGGGCTTTCCAGCTTTAGATCTTCATAGGCTTAGATGCAACAGGCAAAATGATCATGGATATGTGTGAAAGGCTCCATTTGATCATTTGCAACAGTACCGAGAAGTGTGAAGGGCAAATAACATGGGAGGTAGGAAGGCTTCAGTCGACGATAGATTATGCACTGATGTCACATAGGATGTATGATAAGCTCAGGGGAATGCACATAGATGAAGGTGGCTCCAGAAGTCTGGGTAGCGATCACAAACGTATCAAGCTAAGTTTTGGAAGAGCAGTGAAAGTGGGAAGGAGACAAGATGAGCAACTACAGGAAAATTTTTATCCGGAAAGGCAAATTGAAATAGCCACTAAACAAATTGAGAAAGTTGTGACAGTCATGCACACGTGCGCTAGATTGGGGGCAACGCCCCTCGGCATAGAATGTATATATGAGAGCGCTATCGTTCAATAAACGTTCTTTCGACGCACATGACCCGTGCAAGCCACATGGTGTCAGAAGTGGTCGGACCGCAGCCGATACACGCAGCCGGCGAACGAACAGCGGACGCGTAGCAAGCCAACAGGGGCGGCTCGAAGGTCCCAACCAGCTACAAGCATGCAGAACGGGGAACAGCGCCAGCAGGCCAGCGGACCAGTCACCACGCTATTGCCACCGCCGAAAGCCATGGACACCACAGGAGACGTATGGCGAAGCTGGAAGACATGGCGGCAAGAGTTCGAGCTCTTCGCAACGGCAACATACCTGAACCAGCAACCGAAAGAGGTACAGGCAGCCACCTTTCTTATGATTATCGGAGAGGACGCACGCAAGACGTACAGCACTCTTGATTTTGCAACTGACGAAGAGAAGTCGGACGTAGAAGTACTGAAAATGAAGTTTGAGGCATTTTACAAACCAGCTCTAAACTTAGCCTACCATGAGTTCCGCTTTGGAAAGTGCGACCAAAAGGACGGTGAAAGTTTCAATGACTGGCTGACAGACCTCAGAGTGCTAGCAAAAAGCTGCGAGTTTGGGCAGCTTGAAGAGCGTATGCTGAGAAGCCGTATTATTCTCGGAATTAGAGATAAAAAGCTGCAAGAAAAGCTAATCTCCGAAAATGCTTCTTTCACGAAGACCGTAGAAATGTGTCGCTCTCGTGAACATGGCAAAGAACAGTGTGAAGAGATACAGGCGCGCCCGAAAAGCGATTACGCAGCCGAGATGAACGCGCTATCTGAAGCGAAAGGTCAGCGTTGTACAAAGTGCGCAAAGGTTCATCAGACCGACCGTGTGTGCCCAGCAAAGGGACGCACGTGCAGGAAATGCGGTGGCAGAAATCACTTTGCGATAGCCTGCAAGAAGATGCAAAAAAGATTTCATTCGAAAGAGCACGCAGTAGCATCTGTCGATGCAGAAGAAGGCGATTTCTGGTTAGAAACGCTATCGCATGCCCGTGGGAAAGACGACCGCTGGACGGCTACCGTTGAGATAGAAGGAAAGCCTATTTTTTGCAAGTTAGACACAGGCGCAACATGCTCGGTTATAGCACGCAGCCAGCTGCAGAAAATAACAAACAAGCAGCCACTTGATTGCAACTTTGTTTTAAACACATTTTTTGGCTTCCAGAAAAAAGCGACGAAACAAGTTCGTCTTGAAGTGGCAACGAGAGAAAGCAAGATTCTGACAGAGTTTTTCGTCGTGGATGACGAAATCGCCGTGACCTTGAGCGGTACAGTTGCCGAAGAGCTTGGCTTGCTCCAACGTGTCTGCTCTGTCGACCAAATAGAGCTTTACGGCACTGCCAAGCCTTACGAAGACGTGTTTGAAGGTCTGGGTCAACTGGAGGGTATTGTCTACCATCTAAAGCTCAAGCCCGGGTCCCAGGGAGTAGTGAAACCAGCACGGCGGATTCCAATAGCATTGCAAAGCAAGGTGAAAGCTGAGCTCGACCGCATGGAGACTGCTGGAGTCATCGTGAAAGTGACCGAGCCGACAGAGTGGGCCAGCAACATGGTCGTTGTTACAAAAGGAGAGAAGGTACGCATTTGTCTTGATCCTTCCGACCTAAACAAAGCTCTGCTTCGCGAGCACTATCCAATGCCAACATTGGAAGACATAGCACCTTCGATAAGTGGGGCCCAGTACTTTACAACTTTGGACGCAGCCTCCGGTTTCTGGCAAATCAAGCTGGATAAAGAAAGCTCTAAGATTTGCACTATGTGCACTCCATACGGCCGTTATAGATTTTTGCGCATGCCCTTTGGAATCTCGTCGGCGCCGGAAATATTTCAGCGGGCCATGCACCGCGTGCTAGAAGGCCTCGAAGGCGTAGCGGTTGTCATGGACGACATTCTAGTGTGGGGCCGAACAAGAGAGCAGCATGATGCAAACCTTGAACACGTCCTACGACGTTGCCGAGAGTACAAACTGAAATTGAACAGAAAGAAATGCCGTTTTTTACAGGAGTCCGTCCGGTACTTGGGACACATTTTGACGCGCGACGGCCTGAGCCTGGATCCACAGCGGCTAGAAGACATCTTGCAAGTCCAGACGCCAAGCAACCAGAAAGAGCTGCAGACGTTCCTGGGCATGGTAAATTTTGTCTCTCGCTTTATTCCGAATATGTCGGACCTAACAGCACCACTTCGAGAATTACTAAAGAAGAATGTCGCGTGGCTTTGGGAGGACCGCCAAGATGCAAGCTTCAAGGCTCTGAAGGAAGCGCTTGCGACAGCCCCTGTACTAAGCTACTACGAGAAGGGGAAACCAATCAGGCTGTCGGTAGATGCCAGTCAGAACGGAGTTGGCGCAGTGATCATACAGGACGGGCATCCACTAGCGTATTCGTCGCGTTCCTTGACAGAAACACAGCAAAGGTACGCCCAGATCGAAAAGGAGATGTTGGCAATGCTGGTGAAAGATTCCGCGACTATCTTTTCGGGCAGCCTGAAGTTGTGGTAGAATCCGATCACAAGCCACTAGAAATTATATTTAAGAAGCCGTTATGCCAATGTCCTCTAAGGCTTCAGCGCATGCGCCTCAGCTTGCAGAGGTACCCGATAGTCGTCAAATACACACCTGGAAAACAGCTGTTTGTTGCTGACGCTTTATCACGGTCCCCGAGCCAAGCAATATTGAAAGAACAGTGCCTGAATTATCAGTTGAACACCATTGCTTGCCTGCAGGTTTCAGACAGACGGCTGAGCCAAGTTCTACAAGAGACCGACCAGGACCCTGTGATGGTGAAACTTCGACAGTACGCAAGCAGTCAGTGGCCGGAGAGCAAAGCTGACGTCAGCAGCGAGCTACGATGCTACTGGAGCTTCCGCGACGAGCTGCATACGCAAGATGGCCTTGTATTCAGGAGCAACCGCCTCATCATTCCGGCCAAGATGCGCAGCGAAGTTCTTGCCTGCCTTCATGCAGCGCATGGGGGAGCAGAAAAAATGAAAGCACGTGCTCGAGCTGTACTTTTTTGGCCTTCTATAAACAGCGATCTAGAGGAAGTTGCTCGACGCTGTGAGACCTGCCAAAAGCACAAGCCACGAAATCTGCGCTTGCCATTGATGAACCATGAAATTCCTAGCCTACCCTGGGAAGTTGTGGGAGCCGACATATGCTATCACAATGCTACCGAGTACTTGGTGGTTGTTGACTTTTATTCTTTCTTTTTCGAAATCAGGCCCGTGAAGACGACAGCCGACAAGGTGATTGCTGCCTTCGCAGACATATTCGCCACTCATGGCTTCCCGCAGCGCCTATGCACGGACAATGGACCGCCATTCAGCAGCCAGGACTTTCGTGAATTTGTCGGTAAGATTAGCTTGCACCATGTTCGCTCCAGCCCCTATCACCCTCGATCAAACGGAATGGCTGAACGTGCGGTGCAAGAAGCCAAAAAATTGCTGAAGAGGTATCGGTACGGCACAGTGGATTTTTGTGCTGCATTGCTTGAATGGAGAAACACTCCTCGCGATTCCTATTTGAAATCTCCAATGCAGAGACTCATGGGCCGAAATGCGAGGACGCTGCTGCCAGTCACGGAAACCCACCTGCGACCGCAGACCATACCGCCAGAGGAGGTTCAACGGCGGCTCCACGTCATCAGAAGGAGACAACGTTCCTTCTACAACAGGGGTACAAGGCCGCTACCAGGACTTCCTGAGGGCTCCCGCGTCACAGTGTACAACGTACCATCAAAGACCTGGTCCCCTGCTACGGTTGTCAAGCCTGCCAACAGTCCGAGAGCCTACATTGTTGAGACCGAAGATGGACTCCAGTTGCAGCGCACCAGAGAACATCTCCGTCTGGCCCCCACTCCACTGGTGCCCCCCACACAAGAACATCAAGCTGACGTGGGCCCCGCCGAGCCACAACTACGCAGAAGCGAACGCAATCGCCGGCCACCGCAAAGATACCCCATGCCGGAACTTTAGTCTTTTGTTTGTTTAAGAAGGGAGATGTGACAGTCATGCACACGTGCGCTAGATTGGGGGCAACGCCCCTCGGCATAGAATGTATATATGAGAGCGCTATCGTTCAATAAACGTTCTTTCGACGCACATGACCCGTGCAAGCCACAAAAGTAATCACGGAGGATAATAAGATAGTATGGACATACACGAATCTAATTAGACTCTTTGAGCTTGAGCTTGCTAAGACGCGTGACAAGTCACCCCGGAAAAGAAGACACAAATCCAAAAGTTGGTGGGATGAGGAAGTTAACAGAGCCATAGCAAAACGTCAGGAAGCCTCTAGGGAACACAGACATGCTAAGCAGCGGGGTGAACCGACAGATGATGTTGAAAGAAAATGGGCAACCTTCCTAAGCTGTAGAAGAGATGCATCCCTTCTGATCAATGAAAAGATTAGAAGGAAGGGAGCTCAGTGGCTGGCAGAAGTACATAAAAAAGGTAGAAAGGCAGCTGCGAAATTTTGGAACCATCTAAACTCCCTAAGAAATGAGACGAGCCTAGAGCAGAGATTTATAACTACAGCCCAAGGTGCTAGGCTAGAAGGGGACGAAGCTATTGAATATATAAAAACAAAAGTGACAGAAAAATTTCGACAAAGAAATACTTTATGCACCACAATAGACAAGGACGAATCAAGTGGTGCAATGGCTCCATTTTCACAACAAGAGTGGGTAAGGGCTGAGAAAAGGGTTCCTAGTAGTACGTCAACAGGCCCAGATGGCATTCCAATTAGGCTGATAAAGACATTAGGTCCGAAGTCTAAGCAGGCTTTGAGAGAGGCAGTGAGCACAATAATAATCGATGGTGAAGTTCCCGATGGATGGAAACTTAGCAGGATGAGCATGATCTATAAAGGAAAGGGGGACAAAGCTGACATAAACAACTACCGTCCTATAACAGTGACATCAGTGGTCTACAGGCTGGCGATGCAGATTATAAAGGAAAGACTGCAGGCGTGGATAGAGGATGAGGGGGTGCTGGGGGAACTGCAGAATGGATTTCGGAAACACAGGAGGTTGGAAGACAATCTGTTCTCACTGACGCAGTGCATCGAAATAGCAGAAAAGGAAGACAGGCCCCTGTGGCTAGCATTTTTGGATACCAAAGGAGCGTACGATAGCGTGGTTCAAGAGGAATTGTGGGGAATACTGTACACACTAGGCGTGGAACATGTAGTCACTAATATTTTAAAGGGTATCTATAAAGGTAACAAGGTAGTTATAAAGTGGGAAAAACAGGTATCGAAGCCTGCAGAGGTAAAACGGGGGCTTAGGCAGGGGTGCCCCCTGTCACCCTTATTATTCATGATGTACCTACAAGGATTAGAGGCAAAATTAGAGGGAAGTGGACTGGGCTTCAACCTCTCTTTAGTCAAACAAGGAAAACTTATTGATCAGGCACTACCAGCATTAATGTACGCAGATGATATAGTGCTAATGGCCAACAACAAGGAAGATTTGCAGAGATTGATGGACATCTGCGGTAATGAGGGAGATAGGTTAGATTTCAGCTTCTGTAAGGAAAAATCAGCAGTCATGATTTTCAATGACAACGAAGGTAGTGAGCTTAGAATACAGGAGGTCACGCTAGAGATAACAGATACATACAAATATCTGGGCGTATGGATAAGCAATGGGACCGAGTATCTGAGGGAACACGAAATATACGTGACGACTAAAGGTAACAGGAATGCAGCAGTCATGAAAAATAGGGCACTGTGGAATTACAATAGGTATGATGTTGTGAGAGGAATATGGAAAGGGGTCATGGTTCCTGGGCTGACGTTCGGCAATGCGGTCTTGTGCATGAGATCAGAAGTTCAAGCAAGATTAGAAATTAAGCAACGTGGAATAGGTAGGCTTGCTTTAGGAGCTCACGGGAATACACCAAATCAGGGAGTACAAGGTGATATGGGATGGACATCATTTGAGGGCAGGGAAGCTAGCAGCAAGATAAAATTTGAGAAGCGATTGAGAGAAATGGGAGAGGAGCGTTGGGCAAGGAAGGCTTTCAGCTGCTTGTACATGAAGAATGTCGATACAAAATGGAGGGAGCGAACCAGGAAATTGACTGGTAAATAGTACTTAGAAAACAGCAGGTGGCCAAACCAAAAAGAACTATCGGTTAAGAAGAAAGTGAAGGAAACGGAGACTGACATGTGGAGAATGGGCATGATTAAGAAGTCCGCACTAGAGGTCTATCGAACGTTTAAGCAGGAAATTGCCAAGGAAAGGATCTATGATAATACTCGGGGTAGTTCTCTACTGTTTGAGGCCAGGACGGGAGTGCTGCGAACCAAGCATATCGGTCCAAATACGAAGGGGTAGACACAGTATGCAGTGCGTGTGGAGAGGAAGAAGAAACTGCCGAACAATTGATAATGTTCTGTAAAGGGCTTCACCCTATAGTTCAGGATGATGGCGCAGAGTTCTTCAAAGCACTGGGGTTTAGGGACCGGGAGGGCAAAATAAACTTTAAGCGGGTAGACTTCACTAGAAGGAGGTTGTCTGATTGGTGGCTAAAGTCAAGGCGCGAGTGAAAATTAAACTCTTCACTGCAAAGTACAAATCCTCAAACTCTTTTTTAAGGAAAAAAAATAAATATAGTTTTTGGTTCATTATATATTACGGCTTGGTGGCGCTAGCCACCGCCCTATCTAAAGGGTACAGCCATATCCATACATCCATCCATCTAAAGGGTACAGCCATATCAATTCATGCATGCATCCATCACGCAGACAACCCATGTTAGCCCCTGCGTTCGTTCGCTGTGTCTATTCGATGGTTGTTGAGTAGTGTTCTGAGGCCTTCCGTGTTCTGAAGCGCAGCATTTACATAACTGCGGCGTTGATAGTTTTTCTCTACTACTGAATGCTGTCCTGGTTTGCGTAAGTGACCGGGAAGCAGCACACTGTTGCTACGCGTTGATAATGTAACAAATGCAACCAACCCGCCGTTCGCTCTGCCGGCCGGGTTCCTGCTGTGAAAAATTCAGCTCAGGGACTACGCAAAATCGCTGTCTGACCTCGCGCGCAACAGGTACAATCCTGTCGCAGAAGTTCGCGGGCCACGCTTCCATAGAAATACACGGGATAGTGGTCTGGGATCGGTGGCCAAGTTGACGATATGTCCCTTATGTTCTTCGCGACTGAGGTCATGCCCGCAGCATCTAATCGCGTGAGCTAACTCATTGATTTATCTTAACAGCTAGTAGGATTACGTCTCGCCAGTTGGCGAGTTGTTACACACTGAAAGACGTGATGCAAGGTCAGAACAATGGCGTTGCTTCTGTCTCTTCTTTCTTTCCGGTTCTAACCTTGCGCCACGTCTTTCGGGTAACTGATTTATCTTACCGTCGCTGTGCAGGTCCGTCACTTACAGGCATTGAAGAAAAAAAAATCTGCAATCTGTTGTGGCGACTGATTCAAGCTGGCCGAAAAGTTCCGTGCGCGCACTGACCGTGCGTAGGTGACCTCAGTGAGGACTTGATCACACGTTGAAGCAGTGCGTCCCCGCAAACTCGGTAACACGACGCCAATTCGTCCAGGTCTTCGCGACGAATTCTGCTCAGCCACACAGACAGGGCCCCGCGCCTTGACGACAGCTGTTGCCTTCGCACACTGTCCTAATTTGGCTTTCGGTGCCACATAGAGGCATGCCCGTGCGAAATTTTTGTCGTTGAGCTTCGTTTGTTTGTGCGTTTAGAGCAAGCGTAAACCGCGCTGTTGATCATCGTTGGTTTGATACAACTCGAAGAGAGGTAGTATTGCCTGGGCACTTTTAAAAGTCCATGCAGCCCACAGCAGTAGAGGAAACTTCCAACGCCGCACCAGTCTAGACTCAACAGCACGAGGACACGGAAATCCCGGGAACACCTCGCAATACTCATCACACAAACACAGCGGTAAGTATTGGTCGTCAGAGAATCCCAGGTCGTCTGCTGCGTGAAAACTTCAAAAATGGCGCGGCGCGCCGCAGGTTCGCCGTTACCGCAGCGCCACGGTGCAGCTAAGTTTCAGTGCATACTCCTGGAAGATTAAAAAAATAATCCTCCTGTTACGTGTATTTATAAATACAAATATTGTTATTTGATGCGCTGTCTGTAAAATTATCAAGCGGTACCTAAACTTTTATAACAAACTATGGTGTAAAACTTGCACATCTCAAAGGCTATGTTTTTTGTGCAAGCAAGCAGTCGCATACGTCATTACCGGCAGATCAGAGATTTTTTCACCTATGAACAAAAGTAATGTTGAGTTAGCCAAGTCGCTCGTCATTTCCGGTTAAATGATGGCGGCGTCCATGCGTGGCAGAGTCGGAGAGGATTCCGTGTACCACCCGCGAGATGGTTTCCACATAATATTCGCCCTTTTACTCGTCTCAGCGCGTTGTCTAGCGGATGATAGTATTAGAGTTTCTAGACCTCGCGGCGTCGCACTTAAACGTAAGTCTGTTAGTCAACTTCTCATCCCTTTCGGCGCTGCGACACCCTTTTTTTGTGTGTGTGCGCTCAAACCCATAGCAACCTGTGCTCAGCTGTGAGTTACCGGCACTTGCGATTGCTTCGAAAAACGACTCGAGCATCTATCTCACCGAGCGAATTTCGCAGAATAGAGCTAAAAATCGAAGCTCCATTCAGTTAGAAGGGGCGGTGCTTCGTGTAAACGTCCGGAAGATTCAAACACCGGCTGCGCTTTGGTCGGCCCCTAACCTGATGTCCGCACCAGATAACGTCGCGCAATTTTTTTATTATCGCTCCCTCCGAGAAAGGGCCCGGCGAATGCGCCGCTTTCTGACGCTCTTCTCCTTGTTGCTTCGCAGATGCGTCTTTATACGACCGCACGAGAAATTTCACATGCTTCGACGGCAAGAGGGACGTCGAGTTTTTTATGGTGAACGACGACTATTGCGACTGCGATGACGGCTCAGACGAGCCAGGTGAGAAAGCTCTTTATCCTTCGCATGTCATGCGCCTTTGAAATAAACACTCTGCTGTGCTTCTTTCACAAATAACGATGGGGATATCGTAAAACATAAAAAAAAACGCTGCATTCAGGGGCAAAAAAAAAAAAAGGCATTTTGCCCGTGGGTAATGCTTCGCCGGACCTGCCGCAGTTTAGTCCTACAAGTTTTTTTTTTTCTGTGCGTTTATTGGTTCGTTTGGTAGGATGAGCCTCTGAGTGGGGGGGGGGGGGGGGGGGGGCAGGATCGTTTGTGCGGTGTGCATTCGTGATGTATGCATGAATTTACAGGCACGCTCGTCACCGTTGGCTTAGTTCGATCCCTCTTGTGGGATAAAAATTATGTCCGCCTAGGAGTAATGGTTCGATTTGCAGAAAATACGTGATACAGATCTCCGGCCTGGCGGCTAGGACGTCGCGCTGCTAAACACGGGGGCGTGGGTTCGACTCCCAGCCGCGGCGACCGCTTTTTTGGTCGCGGCAAAATACAAGCAAAAAAAAAAGCGCTCATGCACTATAACACACACGTGCACGTTAAAGAACCGCAGCTGTTCAAAATCTGGTAACTCATTATATCGTCGTATTGTCGTGTTAAACTTCGGTGCCTAATTTTAAAATATAAAACAAATTTCGCTAGTGTCTTGAAATTAAGATATGAAAGACTTACCAGTGGCAGGTTTATCGCAGAAGCTTTCTGAAGCGTGTGCAGCGCTTGCCTCGAAAAGTATTGCGTTAATGCTTCTAGCACCACAAACTGTATTCCCTTTCGCATGTTTGTGAAGACGGATATCATTGCATGTCTACCATTAGAGCACTACACTGACTTTGGTTTCAATCTGCTTGTGGGTGCTTTGTTCAATTAAGTATTCGAACGAGGCAACGCTGTGTTTTCCTTGCGATTCAGTTCACGTCTGTGAAGCTGATTCGTTTTCCGGTCAATTCCATTCCGATGGTTAAAGAATAGGGCTCGCTCTTCAATGCGTGAAAAGCTATGGAATTCGTTGTTTGGCAATTCACTTTGCTAATGAAAAATTGGCACGCAGGCACATCGGCCTGCACCAATGGCAAGTTCCACTGTGACAACTTGGGTCACAAGGGCCAGGACATTCCTTCATCCTGGGTGAACGACGGCATTTGCGGTGAGTCATTCTCTCTCTAGAACAAAGAAAAAAAACACCCATTCAGCCAAGGCTAAGAATGGTTAGTTGGGAATAAAATGACAATTTATACAGGGGTGGCACCAGGATCTCTTGCTGGGGGGCACTAACGACAGGTGATTTCTTTCAGGGAGGCAGAAAACGTATGTGTTATGCTTTGACTGCTTTTGGGAGGGGGGGAGGCAATGATGATGATGAACAAATTTTATTTAATTAGCAGAAGGATCCTCCTCCTCTTATAAGGCAAAGGAGGAGGACCAATGAAAGGCAAAAATATTGGATGGGGGGGGGGGGGGGTTCTTGATTTCCAAGGCCAAACATGATCATAATGCGGTGGAGAAGTTTTTGCCTCCCAGAACTCTCCGAAACGACTCGCTTGTCTTAGCTGCCCCCCAGCGGCATCCCTGGCACTCCCTTATGATAATAAGTGACTCAAGGCTTCATGAACTTCATGCATATCATCATCATTCACAGTATGCCCAAACTAAACATGACTTGGTGAAGATAGTCGCAGCCTAGAACATTGCTTTATCTTCTCTCTCATCTTCAACAGACTGCTGTGACGGCAGCGACGAATATGCAACCACGGTTGGCTGCGTCAACAACTGCCTGTGAGTATCTATACATTTCGTGTTGCATAGGAAAATGTACCCAGCTTAATTACTTGGCATGTTTGATAAGCCTGTTCAAGATTACTTCATCAGATTTAGCTGAAGCCTCAATTATTAATGCAGACTGTGCATAGTTCTGGGCACATTTGAATGAAGGCAGTGTGAAACAGTCTGCGTATTGTGCCCAAGGTGCACAGTGAAGAACACCGGTTGATGTGAATTAATCTGGAGTAGCACTGGAACATTGCTCATTACAAACTACGGAATCGTTTGAAGCTGAACTTTACACACTTTCATCGTTTATCAGCATTCATACCTGGCCAGTCTGTGTAGCGAATTCTGAATGCCATTTGGAAGACTCGACTTAATGCATTCTGTACAAAATGTGTTCGTCTTTGTTGATAAACATCATCTTGTCTGTGATCCATGCACTAAAGAGAATTTCAACTCAATGCAACCAGATGTCCAGTTTCTTTTGCTGCTTCTGTAGATTGACTAGACTGCATTTTCCTCTTGTTCTTTATTTCATTTTATTCTCACACCTTTAGAGAAATAAAACCGAAAGTGGAGCTCCTGAACTTTCCAGTGATATTATCACGTTTTCTGGGTTTAATCAACATTTAGATGGTGGTGCTCTTGCGCTGTCATTATAGCATTCTGCTACAAACACTTCCGAGCGCCCGTGCTAACTGCCAACACAAGTCCCACAGCCAGCCATGATCAGCACAAAGTCGCACCTCAATCTCTGACTTGTTTCAGCGAGCTTGGGCGCCAGGCACGTGAGGAGGAAGCGAAGATGCGCGAGCTGCTCTCACGAGGTCTACAGCTGCAGAAGGAGATGGCCAACAAGGGCAAGGAACACCGACAGTATTGCAAGGTGAGCTGGCACCCTTTTACAAAGCTAGTATAGTAACCAAGCTACCGTAACAATCGGTTCAAATGAAGATTTTATGAATTTACAGGTTTTGTTGGCGGTGGCATAGTTTGCAAAAACCTGTCGTCAGGAGTGTGCAAAATTAATTGTGCTGGTCACATGTGCATTTGTATGCATAGTTTTTGTTCACACTCGCACCTCATAATATTATAACGAAGTTGCATCTTGATCATAAATAAGTTTGGTATATTTGAAAATTTGGCATGAAGGTCTATTCCCTGCACTATCTGTTGCGAGACAATTCTTCATTTACCTCGTTATAACCGATAGTTAATTATATCCGAGTGTGAGTGTATTTGGTGCTCTCTTAATTGTGGGCTAGTCGACAGTCAGTCATTTCTGATACAAAAATCTGATATGTTATTCTATTCAGGTCACTTGTCCTTTCATGTCGCCACATTTCGTTGTTGCCTTTCATTGTTTCACACACCGCTGTCATTGTTGCCTGTAGCAGCAGGAGGGTCGCACTGCGAAGCACATGGGTGAAGGTCTGAATCCCAGCATCGAGGAAAGGAAAAAGTTGGACGGGAACATTGTAAAATGCGATAGACATCTAGCTTCACTTGATCCCACTTTCCCAATAGGGAAAGGTATCTTTCTATTTAGTTGTTGTTGATGTAAACTTCATTTCTTATGACCTACAAATTATGTGGGTGGTCATGTAAACTGTTCAATTTTACATTTTTATCGCACAGAACAAGCTCGAGGAGCTGCGTGTGAGCGTGGAGGAAGCAGCGCAAATCACGTGATGCCCTCGAAGCTGTGAAGAACCAGGCGATGGAAGCCGAGACTAAAGCGCTTCAGAAGTACAAGGATGCTGATGCTGGTAAGCTACGACGACTACACTGGAATGATAAATATTTTCTGGGCTAACGCATGTCATGTGCTATACGGTTACTACAGTGGGCACTTGAGGGAAAGATAATTATGGTGGTGTATTCCTTTATCCTTTGATTAAATGATTACCCTGCTTATCCTGAAGCTGCTGCATCACAAGGTTTATAAAGTTGAGGCATATTCATATGTTGTTTTATTGGCAAGTTAGTCTTCTACAACATCAAAGAAGGCTCAGTAGCATTCACTGCCAGGCAAGTTGGTGCGGGGCTAGAAACTGATCAGAGGTGATGATGAATATGCCCTTCTTATCCTCCCTAGTCCCCATAATATTTCATGCCTAGTACTACTACTTTTAACCAAGGAAGGCGCTCCTTGAAGATACCGTGGGGTTCATATTCGCACTCGTGCTTATTTCTTTATGTGGTCAAATTTCACTCACAAAAAACTGGTAATAGCGCTCGGCACAAGAAGCATTGCAGTGTTTGGAAAACTTCTCTTGTGCAAGACTGTATTGATAACATTTTGCATATTATGCCAGTACTAGTCAAGTTTATTCTAAAGCTAATGCTATCGCCAGTGATAACGCTGGAATGTTCCACCACTAGTTTAAAATGACGCATGCCACCAAGATTATCGAAGACTGATGCATGTGCTTGCTGTTATAATTGTACAGTGAATGTTGCTTGTGCTTTGGGTATTTGTTTTTCTGCGCACATGTTTCCCCAGTAAAAAAAAAAAAAAATTGGCAAAGCTTGCAGCGAAACTGGACAATTCTGAAGAGTAGTGCGGTTTCTTCTAGGGTGTGTCTAGGTCTTGGCTAAATGGCGCAGTTTCTAGGCAGCTGCTAGGTCGTTACTAGACTTTGGTGAGGTTCTGCTAGGCTGTTTCTACAATACTTCTCAGTGCAGAGAGGTTCAATTTAAACTATAAACAGTCACAGACACGAAACGGTTGTCCAAACGCTAGAGGCGAAAACCGAGCGTTTGCGCCTTCTCGTCAATCTACGGGCAGGTTTAGTGATTGGCGTAGGCTATCCGTCGCTTCAGGGTCTTCTTCTTGCAGCCGTCGTTGCCTTTCCCGTTCCTTAGTGTTCTCTCGTTGTACGCGCTTGGGGTCTTTTGCTTGCCGCCATTGCTTCTTGGCTGTTTGTTGGGTTGGATGTTGCCTTCTTCGTTTTTAGTGGACCAGTGGTGGTGAGCAGGTCTACCAGACTTCTGCGGTGTACACCCATTTATGATGATAATTTTTGGTGTGCGGTTCGCTCGACTAGGAATGATTTGCTAAACAGCTTTGCTGTTGAAAGTTTTGCATTACCGATTTGAGTTTTGCGTCCTCCCATGTTGCGACCAGGTGCCAGTGTGCAGGTTTCAAATAAGAATTTTCTCAGTTGTCTATAAGCGCATGAGCTGCCTTCATATGTTTTTTTGTCTTTTTACACTCAAGCCCTGATATAACAAACCAGAATATAACGAAATATCTGTTATAACAAAGTAAATGAAGAATGGTCTTGCAATAAATATCATGTTAGAAATATACCTTTATGGCGAATTTTCAGGTACAACAAACTTATTTTCAAGTGAGATGCAACTTTGTTATAGTGAGGCTTGAGCGTAGTTCGTTCGTGCTTTCTGTAATAACAAACACTCACCAAATCACAGTCAACCTAGCTGTGCACATTTCAAATGACTGTCACCATTATAATAATCTTCTTAATGCTGTCGCAGAGCGTAAACGAGAACAGGAGGAACTGGAGATGCAGCGCCACCTGGAAGAAGAAAAAGAGCGTGCCCGTGAGGCCTTCACCGAGCTGGACTTGGATGGTAATGGCATGCTCACCGTTGAGGAACTGCAGAAGAACATCATCTTCGACCAAAACCGAGACGGCGCTGTGTCCGTGGAGGAGGCCAAGGTACTACTATTGTTGTTTGACGTATGCTCTTGTGCTTTACTGTTAGTTTACGTAATGGTACACGCTTGTCTTGGCACACGTATTTGCTTCAGTGGCGCTTTCTAGTATTCTGATGGTCATCAAAGTCTACGCGAAACAGAAAACTGTATTTAGCTCATTTGACGTCTTGTACCATGAAAACTTGTTAATATGTACCCATTTGTAACATACTAATTGCTAAAATATAGCAGTGACAAATCCCCAACTGAGTCTTGTAGAGCCTAATTAGCTGACCGCTTAAGCCGTAGTGGTTGGTCCTATATGTAAATGTCTGCGCATACTAGTTTGAGTGCCACAATAACTTTTTGTGCCAGAAAAGTTTACTGCACAATTCAACTTACTGAGTTCACTATGTGCTGCAAAAGATTTTGTCTCTTTGAGAGGAGCGGAGATAGACAGCTGAATAATTCAGACTTTCACGCGATTATGACGAAGCTTCTGTAGGTAAGCATCGCGAAAGAACAGGTGGGCAGCTGGCCCTACGTTCTTTAAAGAAACACGCCGGTATGGCTGCTTGCCACCGACAGCTTTAATGATACAAGTATCTACAATATCTGCTTGAGCACATGCGTGGCGTAGCGCTACTTAAATTCTACTACACGTCTGAATAAGTGAATACCTGACGTGCTGGGCCGGCGATTGCTGCCTTATTGAAGTACGAAAAGACATGTAATTGCAAGGAAGGACTCAATGCAGAACAGAAAAGGGTGCCAGTTTCTGTTCTGTCTGGAGTGCTTCCCTGCTGCTTACTCGCATCTTTCTGTACTTCAAGAAGGGCTCGTGAGTCAACGTGAGTTGTGCGATCTTGGCAGGGCACAACGTGCTTTATCGGTAATGTGGCTGCTGTTGCAATCCAATTTCCCCGCCCTTGCTTTGTGTGCAGTTCTTCTTGCACATGAAGGACGAAATGGGCCTGGAGGAGTTCTCGACCACAGGCTGGATGATCATGAAGCCGATCTATACCTGCGAGCAAGGTGAGTTGAGGTGTAGAATTTTTTTACACTTTTTAAGGCTGTAGCGTGTGTGTTATGCGGGGTAGACCAGTTGTAACACAGGCCATTCATGTGATGTTCAGTGCAGCAAGTTCCGAGTAGGGTGAAAATGTGAAAATGCGAAAACCAGAGCCCCCCTTTGCACAAACTGTTTCCCCACCCCTTTTGTAGTCTGTTCGGTGTTTTGGCTATGTCAACATCATTATTTCATTTTAAATTTCCTCGTCTCTGCTAGATGCCTCCTGCTGTAGAAACAACGCCGCCGCCACTTCCACCACCTGGCGATGAGCTTCCACCCACCACCACCGAAACCACACCCGTGCCTTCATCCAAGGTGAGTTGTGTCGCTTGGCTTCTGTTTGTAACAGCTGTGTGTATAGCAACAATGTGAAACTGAGTTGAGTATGACCAGAACATGGCTTCAGTATGGCTTCTGCCTATGGTAAAGAAATATTTAATGCTTCATGTGGACGTACGTTCAAAGTTCAAATATGAGTTTTAGGTTCGGTCCCTGCAACATTACCTGTTTGCCCACTTTAATTTTTCTAAATTATGTATTTCACAATTGCTATTCTACACCTGAGGGGGAACGGAGCAGTAAAATTATTTTTCTTATTACGGGGAAAAAGCGGTGAAGTTTAGCACGCAAATGTAATTGGTTAGGCTCATATCACTACTAAATTCGGTATTGAGCTACCTGTTGTAGTTTTTTAGTTGCAGCACTTCATCGACTCTCATTGTCATTCTGAAATTAATTTTGTGATGACCCATCCCCTACCAGTTCTTAAAGAATGGGTTCAGGTCAAGTTCGCATCTTTCCATCATTCGCGTCTTAGGTCGCAATGTCACATCGCGAACCAAGACGCGGATGATGGAAATTGTGACTTTTTACACTGCTTTCATGCAAAATAAGTACTGGATTTACGTATTCATAAAGAAAATGGAAATGCGCTGATGTAGCAGACACTTCTTTGTCTTTTCTTGGAACTTTCGATAATTTTGCATTCGTTTGACTCTGACATTTGTGTGCTTCCATGAAATCTGATGGTGTCATCTATTGGCAGTTTCAGAGTGACCAATGAACTCTGTGCCGGGGCACTCCTCCCTGGGGGAGGGCAACCGAAGGGAACATACCAATGGAACACACGTGCTCCTGCGAGAACAAATAGAAGGGTCAGAATGGAACGTGATGCTTGCGTCTCTCTTCTTGCATGAGTGGGCACGATGGCAGCGATGCTGCGCTACAGCAAAATGAGAGCGCTGTACAGTTCGCCCCGAGGCGAGACCGACACGACCGTCATCCATTGGCATCGTTTCAGGGCATAGGGTGCCTGCGACTTCTGGTCGAACCCGCCAGTTTTCGCAAAGTAGAAAAATTGCTCTGTTGAGTGTATCTCGTGAATGGAGCTGCTCTGAATCTGCCAGTGGAACAAACAGGGAGCAGCATTCTTAATCTACCAATGGAAAAGACTTCCTCCGCACGGAGTGAAAAAAGTGCTGCCGGAAGTGCTTTGAATCTGTCAATGGATGACACTGTGAACCAAGGAGCTTTTACTGTATACTGAGTGATAAATCAGTTGCTTATTTGACATCAGTGCAAAACTGGGAACATGTTTGTATTGGGTAAATACTGCTCTATTATTTCGACATCTGGTTAAAAGCTCATTTACGTGCGTGCACAGGAGGAAGACGAAGGAGAAGGAGAGGACCTTTCTGAGGAGCAGATGGATGAAGGAGAGGAGGAAGAGGACGACGTGGAGCCACCCAAGTTCCCACCCAAGGAGGAAGAGGACAGCTCGACGGACACGGCCTCCACAGACACAACCCAATACGACGAGGAGACCAAGCAGCTCATCGAAGGTGAGCATGATGCTGGCCGTCTCTGTCAGTCTGCAAGGCGCCAGTCGGTAGAGCATCGTTCTATTTTAAAGACGATAGTCTTTCTTTGGGACCTTCGACGCAAAAACTTTAGTCTGGCTGTCTGTACATTTGTCTGTTTGTCTGCCGTTACCGCGAACAGGGTACTCTAAACAGCACCAGCCGATACCCCGAATGACCGACCCCATCCGCAGCACCCACCAATGTTGCTCAAGGATCAGTGTTCATACGTGTGCGATTGTCAATTAAAAAGCAATTATTGCGCATATCTGAGGCACCCTAACAACACGTATATATTCTGCACTGTTCGTCTTTTACTAGAAAAGGCATACATAAGTAATTCTAAGGACCGTAGCGCTTATCACGCTGCGGCTGACCATGCAACGCTTGCACGAAGAACAGAGTGTTTGCCAACGCTTTGCTAAGACGACACGGTGGTGGCACCTACCCGTCGCCTTGCGTTCTACACCTTATCACCTCAGAGACGGGCGCACACGCCACGCGCGCTTAGTTTTCTAAGATAACGGCCAGATAGCGCTCATGTCTCACGTGTGACGTGACTTCATGCGCTCGTTCGCCTCCGCTGCACGCTCGAGGCACTCTGACGCAGCGCCTCCAGAATATCCTTCACCGATCTTCTTGCGCAGAACATCAAATAAACGTTTTGTTCACTCTCTCCCGACGCAAGACTATCGTCTTTCGACAACACTTGCAGTATAACATGCAGATACGGGGTCATTTTTTTCTATTCTGTACACTTTATTCAACGGACGACACGGGGAATAAAAACTGAATAGGTGTGAAGTTGGTCTAGTCGCTTGTGTTTTTCACTTGGTCATCCTTAGTGCAAAGAGTATGTAGTGTGCCAAATGTCGTAGATTTCACTCCCAGCTACAGAAGTTTCATGTCAGTGGAGATAAGATGCTATAGGCCTGTGTACTGTGTATTGTGTTGGTGCACTTTAAAGACCACCGGATGCTCAATTTCCTCAGCACTCCACTACAGTGTACCTCATAGTCATACCATCACATCAAATCCGAGATAATTACTTGCATACAGTGCGGAGACGCGTACAGAGCAGTGTTGTCATATACTGCCGGTCAATGCAACTTGTACACGGGGTGAATCAATTTGGGAAATCCTGCAAGAGCAAAGAAGGTTCTTGACAAGGAAAAGTTGCCACCTTTCTGTTTTGCAGCATGAAGTCTGCTTTCTTCTAAAGAGTTAGGTTTGCATTAAAGACTATATTATTAGAGAATACAACACTTATTAGAGAACAACGTATTTACAGATATGTACCCAGCAAATATTGAGGAATTCTTTTTGTTATATTGCAAGTTTTCTACTTTTAAGCTAGGATTTGAGGTAAACTATTTGAGCGGTCAATTCAGATTCGCATTATCGCATTTGGCTCTAGCTTGGTTTGTAATAGTGAGTCGGCATTGAGAGTGTACAGCACATTAACATAAGCTTCTAAAAGCATTCTCTCTCTTTCTATTTTTCTTCTGATGAAACACTCTCATTAAATGGAATCTGAAGGGACCAGGAAAACATGTTCCAGGAGTTTCGTTTGCTGAGACCTGAACACGGGTGCAGAATACAATCACTAAACCAATAATATCAGTTCCAGTTAAGGGGGCAGACTCATCTTAGGTATCTTTTTTATTCCTTCAGAAATCTTGATCAAACTGCACAGGCTTATGCAGTTTTTTGTGTTGATTTCAAGTACATATATTGTTATGGAGGTGTTCGTGCCAGTGTTGACTAGAGGACGCTACTAGCCATAGAAGAGGTTCAAGTGTCTCAGGCTTACAAGTGATTGTGTCGCACTTGCCTTATACCCCTGTCACACGGGCACTTAAATGTCTTTTAAGTAAGCGGTGTTTTTCCGAAAAGGAGTTCCTGACAGCAGACACACGACACAGAGCGAACTCCTTTTCAGAAGCGGTCTTTTTCGTAAGCGGAGTTCGTCGATCTCTTTTACGGCTCCGAATGAGTAGCCTCGAAACCAGTGGGCGTCAGCAATTTTCGAGTGGTGGGAAAAAAAGAGCGAATGCTTATTTTTCTGTCACGAAAACTCTTTGTAAAAACAAATTTCATATCCTGCAGAAGGTGTAATGAACTCTTTTAATGGTTATTTCCTTTTCTACTCTCGTAAGCAGCTACAACGCGTCGGCAATATCACGTGGTGACGCTCGGTCTCACGCCGCGCCATTTTGTACAAGCGAGGAAAGCGTGGCAGTCGTGTGTTTGCCCGTCATTCATGTGGTCCGAGTCCGAGCGTCTATGGCCAACTCCGCAGATCAAGCAGCCGGCGCCCCACGGAAAAGGCAGTGTCTGCAATGGTCGGAAGCAGACACATTATCCTCTCCTTGGCGGCTTTTGCAGCGTCTGCCTCGCTTTCCAGAGCGAGAAGGCAGGCAGTGAGGCTTGCGATCCTCGCTTTTTCTCTCGTACGGTCGCCCATAACGTGTCAAGAGCAGCGAAAAACAAATACGGTAAATAAAAGCCCAGTGGTGCCAGACGGACTTGTGCACGTCGCTAGTTATGGGAATGCTTCCTTAACTAGTGCAACAAACTTTCACATTGGTGTTTCTTCATCTTTTATTCTTAAATTTATTTGAAGAAACGAGCAGTGTAACAAGTCTTTAATTTGTACATCGTGATACATCGTTTAATTTTCATTGCTTCTCTTTTAACTGCTAGCGCCACGCTTTCGCTAGCGTCTTCGAACGAAAACACTAAAAGGAGATCGTTGCTGACGTGTGTCTGCGCCGCAAACACCTCTTTGTTAAAAGTCTTTCAACTTCGTAAAAGACCGCTTACTTAAAAGACTTTTTGCGTGCCCGTGTGACACAGGTATTAGGGCGTTTGCAACTGCAACTCTACCCGTATCAATATAATTACTTTTCCTGTAACTCATCTTGTTCCACGGATAACTTAAGTTCACCCCCTATTGTTTAAGGCCACCACAGAAAAAAAAAGTGCCCTTTAAAGTGATATTTGAGATAAACATGGACTAATGACTAGATATTGAAAGTATGCAAGAGTTTTTTTTTTTTTTTTTTTGCCTTTTACAGATTTTCGTTTACAAACAGTCTACTGTATGTCTTTTATGCAGCTGCCAAGAAAGCACGAGATGAGTATACTGAAGCTGACTCCAATGTCAGAAAACTCGAGTCTGAAATCAAGTAAGTATAACAAAGCCACAGATAAATGATTTCTTTGGATGTTTACAAAACCTAAAGCTTACCTAGTTCTTGTGAATTTATGTTGAAAAAAATTACCCTATCTCCCACTAAATGGAGCGCCTTTTGGGGATGCGAAGCAGCCCTTGTGTTCACTTCTGTTTTCATTTTTTGTTCCCATTTGTATGTTTCCGCGTATGTTTCATTTGTGTGTGGAGTTGTGTATATGTTGTGTACATTTTATGTTACCCCCCCCGCTACTATTTGTGTGTATTACCGTGTGTGTGCCACAAAGTGAACACCCAGCGCTGCTAGGGTAGTGCAACGGAGCGAGCACGCGCTGAATTATGTACGAGCGCACAGCTGTGGCGGAGAGATAAACGGGAGAGGAGAAACAAAGCGGAGACAGCGATCCGCCACGTCCTCACGCTCACGCGTGGAGAGGGGGAGTTGGCACATGCACAGCGGGGGAGGGGACGGTCACCGAGGGACAGACACAGGCCTGAGCAAATGCTGCTTCGCATCTAGAACACAAAAACTGCTTAAGATAATGGGAGCAGGAAGGTAAAACCTGCAGAGTGTAAGAACAAATGCGTCGCCCAAGTAAACTACGAGCACGATCAGGTTGAAAAGTATGTCTGTTGTCACAGATGTACAGCTTTACATTGCTACAGGCTGCAATGTGCCATTGTTTATGCTGACCCTCATACACCTCTCTTAAGTGACATGCAACCACCATAAGTAAAATGGTAAACCCTTGACTGTTGCAAACTGGCTAGCATAGTTATCATCCGTTGCATGATGTTGTCACTTGAAACTATGCTGTGGGCAAGCCAAACTTTTTTATTTTCTGAGTGGCGCATTTTCGATGCATTTGCTGTCGAGACTGATGCACAGACACACAGTCTGACCAGTAAACTTTTAACTGTTTGATAGAGACAAATGTCATGATCAAAGTAATGTGCCTAAACCCATGGACACTTGTGGAACACAATCCATGCCTTTCAGCTGAGGTCAGACCAGGTTAAAGATAAAACAAACACATTGAAATTAATACTGTGGTCTTGTGTGATGATGTTCTCGTTTACAATGCCTATATGTCTTAAGTGCCTGAGTAACAGTACTGGTATTTGGCTCAAGGTTACTTGGAAGCAGCCGACAACAGCATTCGAAGTCTGTCAATTGAGGCCTGCATGACCATGGTGTACTTGTCGTTATGCAGGACATTAGAGCAGTCCCTTGACACGGACTACGGCCCCGACGATGAATTTGCGGCCCTGCGTGACCAGTGCTTCGAGTACAGTGACCGGGAGTATACTTACAAGCTGTGTCCTTTTGACAAGACGTCGCAGGAGCCCAAGGCTGGAGGGTCCGAACCAGCTTAGGGTGAGCACCTCTCTCTCTCTCTGTCCACTTTGATGAGCAAGAACACCTTGATCTCAGGCTGGACTATGTCCTCACCTGTGAAATTATTTTATTCTGTTTCTGTTGTGCATTGATTTTGTTGTGTTCGTTTAAGGGGATTCCACAGAGATGACCTATTTATCTCGTGTTAGCGAATTGCCCTTGTGCAATGGCAAGATCACTGCTACTTGCTGCAACATTGCCAGGACAAGACTGAAATTTGAAAGGGCACTAAAGAGAAAAAATTGTTTTTCTCATATTAGTAAATTGCAGTGTCACAATATCGAGAAAGCCGATTGTTTTCGCAAGAAGATGTTTAGAAAAAAATGCGGGTGGCGGCACCACATTGCGATTCTCACACCACTGGGGCGTCACAGATTTTGGTGGTGTCTGCTAGGTGTCATACTGTAGGTATTAATTGGTAAAAATGAAGTACATCGTCCTCTGAGGGAGTCCTCGAGTCAACATACCAAGTTTCGGGAAGTTTCGCTTAGCCAATGTTGCCAAGATAGGAAAAATACACATTTAAATACATGGCGCTCACGGAAAAGTGTGTATTAAGTTTAAAGATCAAACTTTGGCCTTGTTTTTTTTCTTTGTTAATAAACATATGATAGGTGAAATTAATAGTGTTGGAGCTTTCAGGGTACAATTTATCCATATAAAGTGATCCGTTGCTTCATTTGAGTGTCCCTTAAAGGCCCCTAACCCACACTGACCTCAAAGGCAAAACAGTAATCTTTATTGCCTTCACTACCCTTCCTACTAATGCTATCTCCTCCTCCCCACTTATTTCTTCATAAAACACGTGGAATGCCAGGTATAAGCATTTAGACAATCAAGATGTTGCGCTTTTCAACTAGGTAAGCGTTGCTATCTCCGCTTGCACTTCGCAATTGTAGAAAATTAAGTGAAATCAGTTTCTTGTGCACGATGGTTATGCGAGACTACTAAGAGGAATGGGCATGCAACTACATAGTAGTACATGGCGAAGCGGGGTAGGTGACCATTCACAACAGGTCTCTTGTCCATCAACCAGTGGAGAGCTTACCGTAATTACTCGAATCTAACGCGCACCTTTTTTCTGGTTAAGGGAGTTCATAAATCGCATGCGCGTTAGAATCGAGTACGAACAAAAAAATTACGGCCAATCTATTGCCATCGGCAAATCTAAAATGGCCGCCCCCTACGTGCGTCGGCATGGCGCGTCGTCCATTTCTGCCTATGTGTTTCTCATGTGCGGCACTTCGTACGTGTGCTGAGGAGTTCGTCATCTAGTAGTGCATTAGCATCGACGGCGTGGAATGGCCGACTCCAAAAACTCGAGTGCACCATGATGCCGCTTTTAAAAGAAAAGTCATCGCGTGTGCAGAAACGGACGGAAATCAGGCCGCATCGCGGTCGTTCGGAGTTCCCGAAACGTGCGTGCGGGACCGGCGGAAACAAAAGCAGAAGATTTTCGACAGCAAAGCTTTACGCAAAGGCTTCAGTGGACCACAGCAGGGTCGGTTTCCGCAAATTAAAAAGCTGCTCGGCGAGTATGTGCTTTAAAAGCGAGCAGCACAGCGGCCCGTGACGGCAGAACTGCTCCAAGTGCGGGCTATGCAATTAGTCTTGGAAAAATGTCTAATGCGGAGCCAGTTTTAAGCGAGCAGGTGCTGGCTAACTAACTTTATGAAGAGGAAAGGCTTTTCCCTCCGAAGGGGAACATGCATATGCGAAAAGTTTTGCGGAGGAGTACGATGAAAAGCTTCACAGTTTTCAGAGGTTCGTCCTAAACTTGCGGCGCAACAACGACTACCTGCTTGGGCAAATTGGGAATGCCGATCAGACGCCTCTTTACTTCGACATGCCTGGCACCACAACCGTCGAGAAGAAGGGGGCGAAGCAAGTTCGCGTGCTGACATCGGTCCACGGTAAAACTACAGTGACGGCAATGCTCTGTTACACGTCAGATGGGCACAAGCTTCGCCCGTACCTCATATTTAAATGGAAGACGCTCCCGAAAGGAGTCGTTTTTTCGAGTGGTGTGATCATGCGGGCCAGCGAGAAAAAATGGGTGCGCGTTGCAATCGATGTCTTACGTTTTTTTTTTTTTTTTTTTCGAGGAGGAAATCGGGTGCGCGTTACAATCGAGGGCGCGGTAGAATCGAGTAAATACGGTATTTCATCCTGATGTCATGTGAGCTATATTCTGGCGTCGCTAATTGCATCGCAATGACTGGAAACGCCGGAAGAAAATAACACGCCCATTTTCAGTATTTTTACAGGTTCTTTAGGGCTCCTTTAAGGCACTGCCTGATGGACTAGAAGTGGAGCTGGTTTTATGAACAAAATACTAAGTCGGGCCTTCTTTTTTTTTCTCTCTCTCTTTTCTCAACTGTCTTCGTGTAGACGTTGGGGAAGCTGGCATGGGCCAGACAATAACAAGTACAGCGTCATGAAGTACGAGGGCGGTGCGACCTGCTGGAATGGGCCCGCAAGATCTGTCGTGGTAAGTAGCTCATTTTAAACAGAAGTTTCTTTTGCTTCCAAGGGTTCAACATTTAGTCATTTTCTCAACGAACTATTTATGTAGGGTAGGTGCATTTGACATCACAACTTGACATCACACTTGACGTCACATATCACAAACTTGACATCACATATCACATTTTTAGTGTAATGACTAGTATGTGGGACTATACTTGTAATAATGGCGTCATGTCGTGACAAATCTGGTCTCAAAAGATAAAATTGGCTCTCATCTAAGTGTTCAAGTCAAAACTACGCCAATGTGACCTGAACAGGAGACGGTGGAAATGAAAGGACGTGCTTTGCTTAGTCCTAAATTGTCCTGTTTCAATCCTTGAGTACTGCAATACATGCCAGTTTCAGGTTTGTACAGTAGTCACGGATTGAAACAGGCCAATTCAGGGCTAAGTAACGCACACACTTTTGTTTCTACCTTCTCCTGTTCAGGTCACATTGGCGTAGTTTTGACTTGAACACTTGGATGAGAGCCAATTTTATTTTTTGAGACCAGATCTGTCACGACGTGACGTAGTTACAATGAGAAATTGCACGTGCCACTCATTGTAATAAAAAACTTCATGTCACATTTGAATCTGAGTTCTGTACGTGCATATATCCTCTTCAGCAGTAGTGCGTACATTTGTACAAGTGACATCAAAGGCGCCTCATGCACCACGCGTTTCTTCAAGTGGCTTAAAAATGAGTATGTACTTTCGTGTGGGCTTCCACCGTGGACAAATAGCTGTAATTTAGTTTCATTGTGCAGCCTATTGCTTCAGAGGGTCAATTTGCCGGAGACACTACCAGTTAGGCGATCGTCCGACATGCTGTATTCCGGGACAAACGCCAAAAGGATTTTTTGCTGTGCTAAAAAAATACAAGCAAAAACAAACTGCACGTGTATTTTAGCCCTGATGTTTGATTTTTTTATGCAAAAATTGAAGCTTACTGATTGCACAATAATTGAATATGTAATTACATGCTAATTAACATTACCAAAACTCACATTAAGACATTTTTTTTTTCCTTTGTTGAAATGCATACCTGCCAAGTCTTCGATTTTCCGGGAAACTCCCGGATTTCCACCAGTTCTTACGTTTGTACGGTTGTCAGGAAAAGCTCCCAGAAACTGTGCATGATCTGGCCGCATTGACAAAAATGCAGCCCAATTCGATCCCGATTTTTCACGAACCCTTGGCATTTTACGATAAACAAATTACGGAGCTATCGTCTTGAAGTACAGGAGAATCTCAAACGTGAAATTCCCCAGCCAAATTCCACTATATGTCCATTGTGCCGAAATTCGATTGTCCCGAACTCTTTTGCTCATCGCGGTGTGTCGTATGAACTTAAGTACTGAAACCGTCGAACAAAGGCCGAGAGCAGCGTGCTCAAAGCTTCGGAAGAATGCGTGCGGTCAGCGCACGCACTGTCAGAACCATGGTTAGCGTTGCCATGATCGCTGGGGACGAAACAGCGGTCACTCTTGACTCGATCATGTAATGGCGGCGACATAACTGACTGAGCTCCAAAAGTGCACGCGCATCCAACGCTCGACCAGTCAAAGTGACGTTGCTTTCCACAAACGCTGCGTAGAAAACCTCGGCAGATGCGATCACAGATAGCAAAAAGAAGAAAGGATTTGGGTTTGACGTGGATTCAAAGCGGAATTATACCATGTTCAGCAACTGCTGCCCGTTAAACCGTGGTCGTGGCGACGCAATTACTGGCCAGGGTCATGTGGCTAACGCAGTTGTAGATTAAAGGCAATAAATAGGTAGAAAGGACTAGAAGCCTTTGCGTTCCTCTCCAAAAAATCTAGTATCCTTGTTCCTGTCTGCCGTGTTCCGTTTTCAGTTGGTCTCAAGGCAAGCTTCAATACGCACTTTCCCGGCGGCCGGCTACGTTGTCCCATCCGTTCACATGTGTCCCTGGAGGACATATGCAAGTTATTTTGACAGAAATAGATTTTGCTAGTTGATTTAATGATGCGAAATTTCGGGAGACACGAGTACTTTCACCTTTGAGACTTGCACCTTCGCCTGTGAAACCCTACCCGCAGGTGTTCTGCCACTCCAGACCATTATAAGACCGCCACAGCGATACTTACGGACCCCTTTTCCCGCCCTTTTTTCTCAATGATTTTTTTTGTGTGCAAGAGTGGGGGGGGGGGGGGGGCAAGTAAATAAGTGCCCCCACCTCCCTACACTGGAGTTTCCCAGGTTCCGAAACCTTGAACTTGGCAGGTATGGGAATGTAACACTGAGAGTCTTAGAATCATGTCATGCAAAGTTTATGCATTTGCAGAAAGTGGATCATAATTTGCACATGAAGGGGATATATATTTCAATTGGCATCCCGCCCAAAAATTTGCTATCCGCACAGCCCTAGTATTAATATTGCTTGTGTGTTGTGTGTTGCGACCCGCGTAGGTTGACCTTCACTGTGGCCTGGAAAACCAGCTGACGTCGGCCTCGGAGCCGAACCGGTGCGAATACCACTTTGACTTCAGCACTCCGGCAGCATGTTCCCAACCGGCTGCCGACACGCCTACAGAGTCACACGTCCACGAAGAACTCTAATGGATCTTCGTTATTACGTTTCACGGTCTTTAGGGGGTTGGGGCATCCATGTTAGACCATTCCAGAGGGGACCGAATAAATGCATCTCACCAGTGGTGGGCACATGGATGCAACCAAGGAGGGAGAGAGAGACGTTGCATTGCGCACAGTGTTGTTGTGATGTGGTGTGCGTTGATGGCCTGCACAGCATTGAGCTTTGCAAAGAGAAGTGATTTCGTGGCTGTCGGTCTCTGTCTTCTCTGGCCTTTCTTACATTTGTCTGAGGGCCTGTGTCAACCTTCACTTCTTTCCCTGGCCACTTTGTCTACAAGCCAGTGAAAGTATTTCGCTGTTGAACCAACACTGACCTTTTGTCCTTTATTCTTCATGTTTTTGCTTTGTTTATTTTTATCTACCGTATAAAACCATATAAAATAAAGGCATGTGATAATGCTTTCTTTTAAACTCATCTGGATGCGTGTTGTTCTTCCAAACTATTCACGTTCACAGGGTCACTAAACGATTTTTGCCTACATTGAGAGTTGAATAAACTGTCACTACATCAATGACAACTAACAGACAACAATGTCAAAAAAAGTGCGGGGGGGATGTTATTCGTGGCAATTTTCATGTAAATGTGAAGAAAGAAAAGTGGACTAAAAGCTTGCCCCTGGCAAGCACTGAACCTGCAACTTTTGAGTAACTCGTACGATGCTCTACCAACTGTGCTACAGAGGCAATCGTACCCTGTCTGGGGTATTTATGTGCATTTAAACCTGGAAGTGTCTGTCAGCGCTGCTTGTAGCCACGACAGAGACTGATGCTGTCCCGGCTACTAGTGGCGCTGAATATATATACAGAAAGCAGGTAGCATATACAGCAACTCTACAAAAACCTCGAGTTACTGTATATGTAGCATACAGGATGCCGGTGCTGAAGTTTTGACAGTGTGGGCAGCGCCGCCCTGCTGGTCAAAGTGCACACTTTTTAGCTGCTCTCGCCAGGTGCACAGGCACAAATTTTTTCGGGGCGGGGGGCATTGTTTTTATTTGACCAAGTAGCAACTAGGAGCACTGCGCATGTCCTCTGGATGCACACCTTAAGTACTTCATGCGCACTCACAGCAAGCTGCCAGCTAGCGGTAGTGGTCGGCAAACGTTCGCGAGTGCGCCCGACGTGCGGTTTGCTGAAAACCGGGAGCACGGCGCTGGGGTTCACTTGTTCCTCCGATAATTTACTCCTGACATGGTAATGTCCTATCTTTATACTTTCCTTTTACTATCCTTTTTAGTTGATACCAATAAGCACACTTTCCTTGGAGCGGACGAGAGCAAAGCCTCGCAAAGTATGGTAAGCTTGAAAGGGCTGACGTGTGGGCAAATTGGTGGGGATTCATTTCAAATTGTGGTATCAGCGCACAGAAAGGACTGCAGAGGCAAAGAGCACTGTTAACACAGCAGATGCACAGCGCCCTTTGCCTCTGTTGTCTCATCCTATAGTTCTGTGCTCTGTTAAACCATTTTGAGAAGTATGGTAGGCTCGCGTGCGTCACTCGAATGCCAACGGGCAAAGAAGCCGAAAGCTAGAGTGTACCAAAACATTCTACCGAAAGCTATAATGCTCATAATGATGATGATCCTCTTCGTGATGGCGCTCACCAACAAGGGGCGATAGCCAAAAAGCGGGCGCCATGATGTTTAAAGGTAAACGGCTATGAAAAAAAGATGAAGTTTAATTGTATATATAACACCTGGAATAAGTGAAAATGCTAAACAGACCTCAAAGATTGCATTTATGACAGATCTGAAATACCATGCAATGTGCATGATCCCAATCACTTCAATTACTATATCTGCTATTCCTGTTGATTTTTTTTATTATTTATTCAGTGTAGAACGGTTAATGCGGTCAGCTTAGCATTTCTAGAATTTACTTCTTGGTGATAATTAGAATAAATGAAAATGCACGACCATTTATCTTTGTTAGCATTTCTGCAGCGGGCATTGTGCTGCACCACCGGAGTCAATCTTTTAAGGGTGAAGCTCCTTAGGAATGTGGGTCGTTTTCTCGTCTGTTTGTATGTAGTATGTATGCAGCTACCTCTAGTTAATGAATTGCTCACTAGATAGCGTTGTGCGTAAATGTCCTTAGAAATATCATTAGATGGCATTAGATGGTGTCGATGCAGTGCTCTAGTGGACACTCATGGAACGTCTGCTTCAAATGGGGCTCCACAATACCGTATCAGAACTATTCCATGCATACCAGCACGAATCAACTCATGCACCTCGCCATCACTAAAACGGGACTGAAAACACTATCAGAACTTCAGAAGAGAAAAACAACGTATTCCACATGAATGGAGGCAGGACTCCATCATCAAACCACTACCACGCAACATGCATCCCGAGTTCCACGAACATCGACGTCGGGCTCGGGCAAAAGTTCACGACAACTACTCAGATACTGAGGGCGCCTTGTTTGTCGATGCAGCTGGACCAGTGAACGGCAAACATACAGCAAGTGCCATTCGTTGTGGAAAACAGGTTGATTGTATATCAGCCCAGGACACGGACACAAATAGTATGGAAGAAGCAGGAATCGCCCTCGTCCTACGAAACCCAAGGTCTACCTTTGTTCTAACAGATTCAAAAGCAGCCTACCGAAATTTTTGTAAAGACTACATTGGCCCGATTGCGCATCGACTTATTACACAACTCTCGTCCTCATGCTCAGAGAGTGAATGGAAACAGCTGATATGGATACCCGGCCACTGTGATGTTAGAGGCAATGAGCTCACTCATGCCTCTGCCTGAGAATTACTCTTCCAGACCTCCGACCCGGAATATCGCACCCACCATCGGCTTATGCGTATGGACCCGCTCCTAACATGGACAGATATTCTAGAAGCATCCAAAGACTCGAAAGACGGAAACTTTGCACCCCCGGAGCCAAAGCTCAGTAAAGAACTCTCGGGTAGCGTGGCGTCGCCTGCAGACCTTGTCTTACCCCAATCCATACATACTGTCCAAGATAGATCCCGACACATACGCACCACAATGCAGGTTCTGCATCGCTAAAACAGCCACCCGTTACCACATGCTATGAGAATGCCCACACAATTCACCTCTACAACGCAGAGCACAGCACAACACTGTAGGGTGAGAGGCAGCTTTGTCCATCTCGGATCCGAAGACCCAAGAGGCCCTCGTGAGACTGAGCGAGGACAGTGCAGCCTGTGCCAATGGGATCTCGGACTAAGGATCCACTCACCGACATTCCTATCTCGGTCGCAAATAAATGTTTTATTCTCTCTCTCTAGTGTGATAGAAGCGGACGGATGGACAGACAGACAGACGGACGCTTCGCCCCACTCGTCATTATTCACTTCATGGATATGCTGTGGATTTTTTTTTTTCTGTGCTGTTTGCAGCCAGCACATCTCGGAAATAAAAAAAGATGCAAGCGACTGCCTACATAACAGTTTTAGGTGGGCACTACGTTATTTCAAATCACAATATTCATATATTCATTTTTTGTTTACTACTGCGTGATGAAGCAAGGACGTAGACAAATGTCACTTTTTGAATTTCGCGCCAAAAATAAGCGTGGCGCCACGGTCCGCAGGATTATCCTAAAAGCTTGCTAGATTGAGTGTCTCGGCGTTTTAAAACGTCCCTCAAGTTGTTTGTCAAATTTAAATAAAGCTGCATTTGTATTCACCGAGCCAAAGTAGTCATCGCAATTCATGACGTCACGAAAGGGTTTCGCGTGAAAATGGCGCAGAAATGGAGCATCTAGCAGCAGCTTGAGCTCAGTATTATTAGTGTTCTAGAAGGTCTTCTAGTTCACTGCCGTACTATATCGCTATCGCGCCTTTTGTAGCTCGTCAAAGACCTCAGTACAATGGAGCTGAATCTAGCTAATTACCTCTGTGCCGTTGAATAAGCGCAATTAATAATACTAAGTCAGCTTGTTTCCCTTCGACAAAATTCGCACTTGTAATTGCCGACATAGGCGTGCCGCACGGTGGGAAAGGGGGTGGGGGGCAGGGAGGGTGGCTGCTTTTTCTGATTTCTTAAAATAGGGGTCATGCTAAGATTAACATAAATAATAGAGACTGTGGCGCTGTGACGAACCTTCAACCGAAGTTGCGAAGTTACCAAAGTTGCTATGTTAATAATAACATATGAGTATACCAATTAATAATAGTTAATATATTAATAACCCGAAGTCACGATGTTGCCGTTAATATATTAATATGCATTCTTGAAGTTATCAGCGACGAGTAGGGAGACGCTGTTTTGGTCAATCCCCAAGAGTGTGTATGTGCCATGATTTTGAGGAAACAAACAAACAATTTTGGCGAGGGGCTAAAGTCGATGTCTCTTTCACAGTTTCGCCGTACGTCGCGGCCGTACTTCCCACCAATCGTTGTGCTCCTTAGTGTCGTGACTATAGAGATCGTGCTAGCGCTGTCACCAGCAGTCGCTCCTCTTTGTTGTTGTTGTTGTTGCTGTTGTTGTTGTTGTTGTTGTTTTCCTCCGTACATGGCTCGTACCCAAAGGAGGGGATTGGCCGATTATAAGGTGAATTTGCCCGATACTTTCTGCATTGCTTCATTCCTAAAAAAAAAAAAACTTAATTATTTATTTATGATTTGAAGTGCCAATTGGGAGTTTGAAGACAAAAAAATAAAGGAAAACAAAACTTGTGAGACCACAATTTAGCAAGAAAATCGTTTAGTCGCAGTGATGTATTCCTGAACGGCGATTTATATAAAAATCCATCCGACTTCTCTGTCTTCTTTAAAGGGGCCCAGAAACACTTTTTCGAGTAACCATAGAATGAATTGACTGGAAGATCTTATTGCCTCACGAATTCAACGCCGCGAAAATTTTAAGAATCCGTCCAGTGAGAGTGGAGTTACAAAGATTTGTCGCATGTTGCAATTGTATTCTCTCGTCCCGACGAAAGCGCTGGCAGCTAAGCAGGGAGGAAGGGCAAGTGCAAAGAAAATACGTCACGCGCGCCTCGTGACCATGAGCACTTTTTAAGCACTTTTTCTCTTTTTTATTCCCCTTAGAATACGCGGCTTTTTTAGTGTGATGGCGCGCGCACGCGTGCACAATAAGTCGCGGCCCCCCACGGCGAACGACAGAGCGCGCCACGTTCAAATCGGCCCATAGCTGATAGATGACTTCCCATGAGTGATATTTGAGCGTCTTCCGTCATTTGTCGATAGAAGAAAAAGCGATTTTTTAGCCGACTTTGATAGTTTATTGTGGATTCCAGGCCGCGTGTTGTGCTATATTATTTGGCTCGCGTGTTCTCGGGAGCCTCTACTACCGACCAGAAACGTTTTCTGACCATGCTCAAGAAGTGTTGCAGGGCCCCTTTAATTTGCAATTTTTACTTTCGCGATGTATAAATTCGTATATCTCGTGGTTTTCTATGAACGGAGT